TTACAGATCATGTATCATAGAAATGTACACGTGAAACCTATATAATCTTATTAAGCAATGTCACCTCATTAAATGTAATAAAAATATTGTTTGGATTTGTAATATTACAGAAACAATGAGCATCTAGAACTATTCCCATTAAGTTAAAATTACACTTGAAATAATCAATAAAAGAAAGCAATTGGGGGTATGTGGGGTTCAAATTAGTTAAAATTACACTTGAAATAATAAAAGAAAGCAATTGGGGGTATGTGGGGTTCAAATAGGTTAGCTAAAATGTTATCTAATACTGAAATATTAGAGTATTTATTGTCATGGCTTTGGAAGTGCCCAGCTAGCTCAGTCGGTAGAGCATGAGACTCTTATTGTCATGGCTTCTTAGTGCAATATTCCTTTCTTAAGAGCTGTGCCCTGTATACACCCTATTATATGAACAAATAAGAATTCAGTAAGAGAACCTGGTGGTCAGGATGGGGCCTGGAAGCATCAAGATGAAGTCTAGCTTCAACTTTTGACTCTAGCACTTATTAGGTATGTGTCCTAGAGGAAGTTAACCTCCTCCCACTTCACTTCTGTGGATATAAAACAGGAATCACAATTATACCACCTTAAGGTTGTGGTGAGGTTATAAAGTTCAAGGATGATTATGCCCCATCGGCCATTTTTTATTTTCATGATTTGGAGCAGATGTTACTGGTATCTACTTGTTTGAGGCCAAGGATCCTGCTAAACACCCTAAAATGCATAGAAAAGCCCCCACAGCAAAAATTATCCAACCCAAAATTTCAGTAAAGCCAATAAGTTGAGAAACCCTAGTCAAATGTACATTAGCAATATGCCTGGTGTAATATTAACAATCAATAAGATAGCCTTTACTGTTGCTTTATCATATGTACAAAATTTGTGGAATAATTTATGCCAAAGTTTTAAAGACTAAAAGGTTTTTATTCTTTCTTTAATCCAGGAGAGAAAAGTGAATTCAAATTTATAAATATTGAGTCTTTTGTGAATTATGTTTTCTGATTCTTTCTCCCATTGAATAAGACAAATTGTTAAATGACATTTAAAACAACTGGTAACTTTAACTACCATTCTGGCTCTGAAGTCTTGGTGGCTTGCTACTGATTTACAATAACCATTGGGAACAGTGGGAAACTTTAGAAATTAAATAAAAAACGTATTCAAAGGTTTGTTTTTATAATGGGACCCTTCCACTACTCTCTCCCCACTTTGAAAATAAGTTGTGACATTTCTTTAAGAAAAAAACTAGAGATTAGCATCCTCTATTTACTTGCCTCAATTAATTGCTCTGAGTATCTGTCTTTCTAGGCCAAATATATATTTTATATTATCTTTATATAATTTTTTTCTAAAAGGATCAGACCTGGAAATTGGACTGTTGTCCTAAAAGAAATGAAAATATGCCAATCAGGAAACATGGCCAAGGGACCAGGAGGCTCTCATGTTCAACACAACGGACAGCTTCAGAGTAATCCTGTGCTTCACAGTTCAACAATAACAAGTTACTATGGCCCAGCACTGTGCTACATGTACGTGTAAACACAGGGACTCAAACAGCAATGGCTTTGGTCAAGTACAACCTCTAAGCCTTCATTTCCACTCTCCAAAGGTAACATAAGTATTATTTCCAAATTGATAGCTTGCATTCTTCCTTTATGCTTTCTGCTAGAAACATGCCCTGAAAAAAAAACCTATCACTGATGAATGCTATGTAGTGAGCTTATTTTTTAAGTTCATTTTTGGAGTGTTTATTGCGGTTTTATTGAAAGACAACTGATTTTTTTTTATTGTTGATCTTGCAACCTTGCCAAATTCACTAATAGTTGTGTGTTGTGTGTGTGTGTATGTGTGTGTGTGTGTGTGTATGTGGTTTCCTTAGGATTCTCCATCTACAAGATAATACAATCTATTAGTACAGATAGTTTCATTTTTTTTTTCATCTCCAATTTGAATGCCTTTTATTATGTTTTTAAATCTAATTTTCCTGGATAGACCCTCCAGTACAACACTGAATGCCAGGGCCAAGAGTGGACAATCTTCAAAGAAAGTGTGATACATCCTATATAATAAAGAGGTAATATGCAAATTAACCCCGATGCCCTCACAAGATGGCTGCCTACGACCAGGCTGGTAGGAGGCTTAGTGAGAAACAACCAAATGACTGAACAAACAGGCTGCGTGGGGTGACCAGGTCAGCAGGGTGAGGACTGAACAGCAGGCTGTGGGGAGCGAGCTGCCAGCGGCGGGGCCGTGAGGGATGACCAAATGACTGAACAGCAGGCTGCATGGGGCAATCAGGCCGGGGGCAGTTGGGGGCAACCAGGTCAGCAGGGAGGGGGCAGTTGGGAGCAACCTGGCCGGCAGGGGAGGCAGTTAGGGGCAACCAGGCAGGCAGGCAGGTGAGCAATTAGGAGCCAGCGGTCTAACATTGTGAGAGGGATGTCCCGGATTGGAGAGAGTGCAGACTGGGCTGAGGGGAACCCCCCCCCATGCACAAATTGCATGCACCAGGCCTCTAGTATATATATAATCTGTATATCTCACATATTATTCGCCCTTAATAAAAAAGATTATCTTGCCATTTATGACAACAAAACCAAATGACTGAACAAGAAAGCTGCGTGGGGTGACCAGGTCGGCAGGGTGAGGACTGAACAAGCAGGCTGCAGGGAGCGAGCTGCCAGCGGGAGGGCCATGAGGGATGACCAAATGACTGAACAGCAGGCTGTGTGGGGCAACCAAGCTGGAAGGGGGGGCACTTGGGGGCAATTAGGCTGACGCAGGGGGCAGTGAGGGGCAACTAGGCCAGCGGGGGTGGCAGTTGGGGGCAACCAGGCCAGCAGAGGGGGGCAGTTGGGGGCAACCAAGTCAGCAGGTAGGGGGCAGTTTGGAGCAACCTGGCTGGCAGGGGAGGCAGTTAAGGCCGACCAGGCAGGCAGGCAGGTGAGCAATTAGGAGCCAGCGGTCCAACATTGTGAGAGGGATGTCCAACTGCCGGTTTAGGCCCAATCCCTGAAATTGGGTCTAAACCGGCAGTCGGACATCCCCCAAGAGGTCCTGGATTGGAGAGAGTGCAGACTGGGCTGAGGGGAACCCTCCCCCATGCACGAATTTCATGCATCAGGCCTCTAATATATATATAATCTGTATATCTCACATATTATCCGGCCTTAATAAAAAAGATTATCTTGCCATTTATGACAACATGGATGAACCTAGAGGCCATCATGCTAAGTGAAATAATCCAGGTAGAGCACGAAAAACATTGCAGGATATCACTTATATGTGAAATCTTAAAAAAAAAGCTGAACTCTCAGAAACAGTGATATAAAGAATGGTGGTTGTCAAGGGCTTGGGAGGTGAGGAGAGGGAGAAATGGGCAGGGGTTAATTAAAATGGCACAAACCTTCAGTTATAAGATGAATACGTTTCAGAGTCAATGTATACCATGGTGAATATAGTTGATGATATAATATTGTATTATATAATTGAAAATGCTAAGATACTAGATCTTAATTGTCCTTATACACACACACACAAAGATAAATATGAGAAATGATGGATGTATTAACTAACTCTATAGTGGGAATCCTTTCACTATGTATACTTATGTCAAAGCATCACAATGTACACTTTAAATAGGTATATTACAACTTTATTTGTCAATTATACTTCAGTAAAGTGGACAGAAAAGGGGCACCTTATCTTGTTCCTGATCTTAGGGGAAGACCATTCAGTTATTCAGCATTACATAAGCTCTCAGTTGTGGGTTTTCCATAAATGCTGCTTACCCTGTTGAAGAAGTTCCTTTTTACTAGTATACCTAGTTTGCCATGAGATTTTTAGTTTTCTCTTTTTGGGGGAGCAGGTATGAAATGCTTATATAATTTCATGTGTATTTTTCCTTTTAATTTTCAAATATGGTAAATTGGTGATTTATTTTCAAATGTTAAACCAACATTGCATTCTAAATACTAGTTATGATGTAGTATTATTTGTATATATTGTTGAGTTATATTTGTAAAAATGTTATATAGAATTTTTACATCTATCTGTATGTGATATACTGATTTGTAGTTTTCAATTATTTAAATTACTTCATCTAGCTTTAATATCAGTATAATAAAAAAAGACAGACAATAACAAATATTGGTGAATATTTGGAGAAACTGAACTCCTCATATATTGCTGAAATGTAAAATGGTGCAGCTGTTTTGGAAAACAGTCTGGTGGGTTCTCAAATTGTTAAATAGTTACCATATGACTCAGCACTATCACTCTTAGGTATGTACTCAATATAACTGTAAAGATTTTTACAAAAACTTGTAAATGAATAATTAGAGTTTTATTAATAACAGCCAAAATTCAGAAACAAAATAAAATATCCATCAGCTGAAGAATAGACAAACAAAATGTGGTCATACAGTTGAATATTATTCAGCTACAAAAACGAGTAAAGCAATAATAGATGCTACAACATTAAAACATGTTAAGTGAATGAAAACATACAGAAAGGCCAAATATTGTATGATTTCATTATATTAGTGGCCCAGAATAGGAAAATCCATGCAGTCAAAAAGTAAATTAATGTTTACCAGGGGCTAGGGGAGGGAAGAATGAATGTGAGTGAGTGCTAATTGGTATGGGGTTTCTTTCTGAGTGATAAAAATGCTCTGGAATTAGGAGGTAGTGATGGTGCACCATCTTGAGAGTACACTAAAATCCACTGAACTGTTCACTTTAAAAGTGAATTTTATGGTATGTAAATCATATCACAATTTTAAAAGCCATATACTGGTATGTGTGCCCACATATACACATACAGGCATACACACACTGCTGATTTGATCACATATATCACTTGATTATTTTCAAGCAGCATAGAATTTAAAACTGAAAATAACTTAACTTTATAGTTCATGCAAACATCTTGTTATAGCAAATGAAAACTTGAGACATGGAGAAATTAAATGACTTACCCCAAATCACATAGCTAGCTACATAGAAAATAAAAACAAACAAAAAATTACTTATGGTCTGAGCTCCTTCCCTTTTCTTACACAGGAATATTCCCCAGTGTTTAAAAGCATGAAACAAAAACAAAGTAAAAAAACATTAAAAAGTACAAAAAAAATAAAACCCAATTTTATTCATGTTAGGTTGTTTTTCTCTTAAGTTGTAACAAATATCCTCTGTGGTAGATGTTAGTATTGAGAATATTACCAAATCTATGATCACTCTCAGAAAGTGACATTGAAAAATCCTAAGTGGATACAATCAATGCTGTGCCCCTTATCTTACAACAGTAAGCATCACATATTTGTTTCCATAAAAAGACTAGCCTGAAAGAGAACATCAGATCTGCTCTCCACAAGGCACTATCTTTTCATATCAGATGGAGACAGAAGTTCTTTAAAGGACTTAAGAATGTTTTGTTCCAACCTCCCTCCTTCCCTCCCTCCTTCCCTCCCTCCCTTCCTCCCTTCCTTTCCTTCCCTCTTTTCTTTTTAGCAATCCGACTTTTCTAAAGTAGTCATCTCTTCTTGGGAAAAATACAATGGGAATGTACTCAGCATTTAAATAATTGGAAACTGACAGTCTGGTTTTTAACAAAAACTTAAAAAAGAAGAATTACGGAAAATAAGTACTGGGAAGAGCCTCAAGCTAGTAAACTTCATGCACAAAAAGGCACGAATATTAAAATCTGGAATGAAGGAAGCATACATGGCGTCCAGGGAAAAACTAGATAACTTTCTAAATTTCTAGACTTTGCTCACTTGGAGGATTAACCAGTGGCTTCTGAGACCTGAACTCAAGGATCCCAATGCCAGCAGAGAGGCCTCAAAATATTCATATTTTGCATCTGAGCCCAATACAGAGATTGCTGGGCTTTTCTACCTAGTGCATGTTTAAAACAGTTTCTAAAAACAAAAAGATTGACTATTTACTCTCCACAGGGACACATTGATAACTTGGTTTTGCTTCTTGCATCAGGTGCTTAAAAGAATCAGAGCTAAAGTTCTTTTAGTCTCTTAAACTGAGAGAAGGATGCTTGCTTTGATAATTATATTTGGAAGATTCCATAATAGTCTCAGAAATTCATCTAACTTTCTCTTCTCCTTTTAGCTCTGATATAAGTAGAAACAATTGCAGTATTTTATTTCTATTCTGGAAGTTCTGAAGTTGCATGCAGGCCAAGGAATTATAGTCCTGCCCTAATGTGACTCACACTGGCTTGTTCTGAAGAGAAACAGGCCCTTAAAATCCTGTTGGTCACAAATATAACCCACGTAGTGGCTCAAATGAAAAACCTGAATTGAACGGGCTACACAGTTAGCCAGTCTCAGATCATGGTCTGAGGATTCTCTGTGAATTTGATTTGCTACACTTAATTAAATAGGGAGAATATCTATTTGCATTTAAAGATAAACAGAAAAAAATAATAAACTAGTGAATTAATTTTTATATAATATGTCTATAATCATTAAGAAGAATTGTAGAAACTTATTTCCAAAATATTTCAAGCTGATTCACAAGATAGGGTTTCTTGTTTGTTTCTTATGCCTGCAATCCAGACACAGCTGTGCAAATGTAAGATTTTGGGAGTGAATCAGCTCTTATTCCCAACTGCCACATTCTAATAATGATTATGCACTTAAATATATAGCCAAATATTTTTGGAGATTACCAAAACATATATTTGGAAATAATCTTGTAAAGATTACTTTCACCAAAAATAGAATAATTTATGCTTAAACATTTTAAGAATATGAAATAGATTCTATTTCTTGCAAATGTAATTTCTAGGATGTTGGCAGCCTAGATTTAGATGTTTAACCAAGAAAAGAAAAAAGAAAAAAAAATAGCAGCACGCACAAACCAAACCACAAGCATATATTTCCAAGAAAATTATTATTCTTTTCTGAGTTTGTACAAACTACTTGTGACCTAGAAATCAAATATAAAAATAATATAATCATGTCTTTTAAAAAATATATTTTTATTGATTTCAGAGAGGAAGGGAGAGGGATAGAGAGAAAAACTTCAATGATAAAAGAGAATAATTGACTGGATGCCTCCTGCATGCCCCCTACTGGGCACTGAGCCCACAACCCAGGCATATGCCCTGACCAGGAATAGAACTGTGACTTCCTGGTTCATAGTTTGATGCTATACCACTGAGCCACACCAGCTGGGCTATTTATGTGTTTTTAAATCTTTAAATTGGTCCTATTATCATTTTCAGATGATTAGTACATAACTAAAATAAGTTTTTTTGTAAAATTAAATAACATATATATTTGGGAAGATAACATGCATCTGTTGACTGCTCACTATGTACAGATATACTGATATGACCTTTAGCGATGATATATCCATTGACAAAACTATAATGGCAGTAGCTGAAGCATATATTACAGGGGCCCTTCTACAGATGAGATAACTGACTCTTTAAAGAATTATTCACTAAAGATAAGAATTCAGGTTTAGATTCCAAGTTTCCTGTAGACACCATGACAGAAATGCAAACAAGTGTGAGCGACTGAGAATGTTACTTAAGCATTCTTAAGATAAAACCACCATTATATGGTGGTTTCAAAATGTTTGACCTTAAATAAAATTACCTTTTCTCTATACTGGCTCTCTAGACATCTTCCCAACATTCTGTAAAGTTAAATTAGAGTAGAAATGTGATTAGATGACAGCAAATTAACAACAATTTTATAAAAGGACTGCTTTTCAAGGACATGGTTCTTTTTTAATGATAACAAATGTCATTTGGGTATTATTACAGTGTTTCTTCATTTAGTCCCTTTCTTTTTATAATAACACTAGAGGCCTGGTGCATGAAATTCATGCACTGGGGGAGAGGGGTGTCCCTCAGCCCAGCTTGCACCCTCTCCAATCTGGGACCCCTCAGGGGATGTTCAACTGCCAGTTGGATGCCTAACTGCTCACCTGCCGGCCCAACTGCCCCCATCTGCCCTCCCTTGCCAGCCCGGTCACCCCCAACTGCCCTCCCCTGCCAGCCCAGTTGCCCCTAACTACCCTCCCCTGTCAGCTATCTTGTGGCTGTGGGCACTGCCATCTTTGAGGGCAAGGCAGTCAATTAGCTTAATCCCTCCTTATTGGCTGTGGTGCTGCCATCTTTGCAATGGTGTGAGGGTCAATTAGCATATTCCCTCTTTATTAGATAGGATAATAAATCAAGCACAGATTTTTTTTAAAAAAATTTGGTCCCTTTCTAGTTTTCCAGGATACAATCCTTCCTGGCAGGGTATCATTTCTGGAAGCATATTCTTACTTCCTCTGCTGGGTTAAAAAAATCTTGTATAGGTTTCCAATACCTAAATAGGTTTTATTGTCATTGCATTACTCAAGATTAGAATGAATACTTTTCTAACTGGCAGCAACAAAATTGTATGTTCCTTTAAAAAGAATGCTTCTTTTGACAAAAGAAACCCTAAACAAAACACAAATCATGATTCTCTGAAATTTTCAACTGTTACTATTTTTCAGAATATATGCTAAGCATACTCAGAGGCCTGTGCTGCTTAAGATTTTCAATAAATAATCACAATTACCATAACTTATATATTTAACCTATGACAATTAATTTTCATACACTGTTTTAATTGAACCTTACAATAATTCTAGGCTGTAAAATCTGTTCCTCCCTCCACTTTCCAATTTTAAAAATAAGGCAGAGGATGCTAAGAGAGGATAAACATCTTTTCTAAGTCACAAAAGTAGAGAGAGCTTATGTTTGAGCCATGCCTGTCCACCACCAAATTTTGTCCACATCAGGTATAAAGCTTCCATCTGGAAGAGCACCTTGGCTCAGCTCTGCAGCTCCAGGTGACTCCAGGGAGAGTTTCATCCTGTCTTATGTGTCAGAGACAAACCAACATATATATATACACACACAACAGGCTTAAGATTAGACATAATTCCCTATTTACTAACAGTCTTTCTGTACATACTAATTTATAAGTGGCTACATTATCATAATTACCTTGAATTTCTATACAAGAAACATTTCCTTTGGATAGTAGGTTGTTCCTTTTCAATGTCCTCATAATCGGAATCCCTGCTGGCTATTTAGAATAACAGGACTCACAACAATCCTGACACAAGCAACCTTCCCACATATCCCTTCTTTTTCTCCATCTACACATGTAAGAACTTTTATGAGTTCACACTTGTTTCAACTGTACAGTTTGATGATGCATCATCTGTATATTGCATTGTGTGCCCATCACTCAAAGTCATTCTTCTTCTACCACCATATATTTGATCCCCTTTACCCTTTACTACCTCCCCCCCACCACTTCCATCTGGTCCCCACCATACTGTTGTCTGTGTCTATGAGTTTTTGCTTATTTGTTTTTCATGTTTGTTCACATGTTGCTTTCAGTTTTATATCCCACATGAGTGAAATCATATGGTTCTTAACTTTTTCTATCTGACTTTTTTCGCTTAGTGTGATATCCTTAAGATCCATCCATATTGTCACAAAAGGCAGTATTTCATTTTTTCTTATGGTTGAGTAGTATTCCATTGCACACATGTACCACACCATTCTAACCCTAAGGCCTGGTGAGGTCTCAGTGTATTTATCTATGTCCTTCCAGCCTATTTATCCCTCAATATTGTTATTTAATTTTTTAAAACTTATAGTCTTGATTCATTGCTTCTCAACAAACATCTATACAAATTAATGAGATATCTTGTTAAAATATAGATTAGATTTTTTTAGTAGGTGTCTATTGGACTTAAAATTTTTCATTTTTAACAAAAACTCCATGATGGTATTGCTTCTGGTTCATAGACAACACTTTAAATAAGAAACACTTGAACCACTACAAAGAACAATAGTTATATACAAGATGAATTCATCATTTAAAAAAATAACTCACATATACTGTTCAAGGGTATAGCTATTGATATAATTAATATGGCTATTTGTTTCAAAGAAAAGAGATGTTAAGA